TTTAAAGAACTGTAAGAGCTAGAGCTTAGATATTTGGCATGGAACATCTTCTAGTGAGTGTCTACCAAGTTTGTTCAAATAAAAGCCCTGGGGTCAATGATTTTCCCTATATGCATAAAGTAAAAACTTAAAAAATCTTCTTTTAAAGAACCCAAAAAGCTAGAGCTTAGATATTTGGCATGAAACATCTTCTAGTGAATGTCTACCAAGTTTGTTCAAATACAAGCCCTGGGATCAAAATTGGCCCCGCCCTGGGGGGTAATTGATTTTCCCTATATGCATATAGTAAAAACTTAAAAAATCTTCTTTTAAAGAACAGTAAGAGCTAGAGCTTAGATATTTGGCATAAAACATCTTCTAGTAAATGTCTACCAAGTTTGTTCAAATAAAAGCCCTGGGGTCAAAATTGGCCCCGCCCCAGGGGGTCATTGATTTTCCCTATATGTATATAGTAAAAACTTAAAAAATCTTCTTTTAAAGAACTGTAAGAGCTAGAGCTTAGATATTTGGCATGAAACATCTTCTAGTGAATGTCTACCAAGTTTGTTCAAATAAAGGCCCTGGGGTCCAAATTGGCCCCGCCCCAGGGGGTCATTGATTTTCCATATATGCATAAAGTAAAAACTTAAAAAATCTTCTTTTAAAGAACCCAAAGAGCTAGAGCTAAGATATTTGGCATGAAACATCTTCTAGTGAATGTCTACCAAGTTTGTTCAAATAAAAGCCCTGGGGTCAAAATTGGCCCCGCCCCGGGGGTCATTGATTTTCCCTATATGCATATAGTAAAAACTTAAAAAATCTTCTTTTAAAGAATCGTAAGAGCTAGAGCTTAGATATTTGGCATGAAACATCTTCTAGTGAATGTCTACCAAGTTTGTTCAAATAAAAGCCCTGGGGTCAAAATTGGCCCCGCCCCAGGGGGTCATTGATTTTCCTTAAATGCATATAGTAAAAACTTATAAAATCTTCTTTTAAAGAACCCAAAGAGCTAGAGCTAAGATATTTAGCATGAGACATGTTCTAATGGGTGTCTACCAAGTATTTTCAAATAAAAGCCCTGGGGTCAAAACTGGCCCCGCCCGGGGGGGGTCATTGATTTTCCTTATATACATAGCAAAAACTTAAAAATCTTCTTTGAAAAAACCCAAATAACTTAGAGTTTAGATATTAAGCATGAAACATCTTTAAGTAAATATCTACAAAGTTAATTCAAATAAAAGCCCAGGGGTCAAAACTGGCCCTGCCCGAGGGGTGTCATTGTTTTTAACTATATGTGTATAGTAAAAACTTAAAAAATCTTCTTTTAAAAAACCCAATGAGCTAGAACTTAGATGTTTGCATGAAACATCTTCTTATGGGTGTCTACCAAGTCTGTTCAAATAAACAAATGAAAGCCCTTGGGTAAAAATTGGGCCGGGGGGGGGGGGGGGGGCTATATACAGGTGAGCGACCTCAGGGCCATCATGGCCCTCTTGTTTCCTCTATTTTGTGTTAAACGCCACATGGCAAATTTGGGAAATTTGTGTCATAAAATTTTCCAATTTGGGAAAAAAAATTATCCTGCAATTTGCCGATTTGGGAAAATATGATAGCATTCAAGGTGTTACAATTGTTAAAATAAAACTATATAAATCTTACTTAAACTGTTCAGCTTTTTCTGTCATATCAAAAATACAAGGACAGGCTAAAATGTGTTCAAATGTAAAACTGCTATCAATTAAAAGTCCTGATTTTATTCACAAAACATGAATTGTATTCAGTAAATTTGAGGATATAACTCGGTATGTTAAACAGTCTATCGCTAGCTTATGAAACTTAGGGAACTTCCGTAACGCTATTTCCCCGACACCAAAATTGAAAATGTGGTTCTTTTTCTTTCAAATTGCCGACTTCTAGATTGGGAATATTTTTTTGGGAATGAGGAAAAAAACATAATTTGGATGGGCAATGGGGCTCATATTTGGGCCCGTGGGATAGGTGAAAAAAGGCCTGAGTCCTGTTGATATTGACTATAGGTAAAATGTCACCAAGGTCAAAAATAGATGATTTATGCTATTTGTATGTAAGTGACTTTTAGATCCACATTTCTAAGAAAAAACAAAACTTATAATCTTCATGACCCACTGGTCAACATTGGTTAACCTTTTTAATTTTAAGTCATTGACTTCAGTACCAATCAAACTATTTCATTGAAACTAAATATCAGATGTTGATACACCTATATCAGTTCTACCTTTTGAAACCATTCTCAGGTCAAAAGCTCAAAGATCAAGGTCACTGGGACCTCAAATGACAATAAAACATCTGGCCATTAAATCCAAGAGCATTGAATGAGAAACTACACCCATTTTGGAATCATTTTGGACTCAAGGTTCATGTGACCTTTACTTCAGTTTATCTGTACTTATTTTTAGATTTCCCCTAATTGTGATAAATGGTTTTGTCCTGGCTGAAAGATGGGCAAATCCATATAAAATATTTAGCTAGGTCAGGTTTAAGTTGTATGGTACAGTCTGCAGCCAATTTGATAATAAATAATTCTAAAACTTTACATTAAATGATTAGCTTCTAAGGTGTCATCAAAGGCTAAAGGGAAGTATTCATAGTTTTTGTAAAAAATTATTTCTTATTCATTTGTTTTGTCATAACAAAAAGGGACTTGGGTATCCCTTTAGGTGCAGATATTTAGGTGCTAAAGGTTATGGCAGATATAAAAGTCAGATCAGACCAATGTAGTCAAACTAGATGATACTGTGTATTAATACATTAAAATGCTAGTAAATGCTAGTCCATTACACAAATACAATCCAGTAAAGGTTAAATATTTCAAAACTGGTAAAATAAAAGGTCTGGTCACATGTCAGTCCATGGTTAAAGGTTGATATAATAATAATTATAGCTAATAATGTGTCTAACAATTTCATATGTCTGCTTTATTGACCCTTAAGTCTGTAACTGATGTTAAAACTGTTAAATCCTTAACCAAAGGGATTTACTTTACCACAAATATATAGCCAATTGTAACCAAAGAGATTTACTTTGCCACAAATTTATATAAACCAGTGGTTAAAGGTTGATATAATAATAATTATAGCTAATAATGTGTCTAACAATTTCATATGTCAGCTTTATTGACCCTTAAGTCTGTAACTGATGTTAAAACTGTTAAATCTTTAACCAAAGGGATTTACTGTACCACAAATATATAGCCAATTGTAACCAAAGAGATTTACTTTGCCACAAATTTATATAAACCAGTTGTAACCATAGGGATTTATATTGCCATAAATATATAGCCATTTGTAACCAAAGGGATTTACTTTGCCACAAGTATATAACCAGTTGTAACAAAATGGATTTTAACTTTGCCACAAGTATATAAACCAGTTGTAACCTAAGTGATTTTAACTTTGCCACAAGTATATAACTAGTTGTAACCAAAGGGATTTTAACTTTGCCACAAGTATATTCTTAGTTATAAAGATTGTTGACAGGTTATATGGCTCTATATAAATGGCTGTTTGTAAATATAACCAGAGCCACTAGGCGAGGGTTATATTGCAAACAGCTATTTATATACGGCCATATATCCTGTCAACAATTTTATAATAAATTTATAATACAACACACATCATTTTTTGGAGAAAGAAAGTAAGATTTCTTAATGAATCAACAATAGCTGTGTGTATAAAACTATATAAACATCACTATTATCCAATGAAAAGCGACGTTACAAACATGCAGTATTATGAAACCTGTTGTAACCAAAGGGATTTACTTTGCCACAAGTATATAACCAGTTGTAACCGATGGGATTTTAACTTTGCCACAAGTATATAACCAGTTGTAACCGATGGGATTTTAACTTTGCCACAAGTATATAACCAGTTGTAACCGATGGGATTTTAACTTTGCCACAAGTATATAATTAGTTGTAACTTAAGGGATTTTAACTATGCCACAAGTATATAACTAGTTGTTACCAAAGGGATTTACTTTGCCACAAGTATATAAACAGTTGTAGGCAAAGGGATTTCAACTTTTCCACAAGTATATAACCAGTAGTAACCAAAGGGATTTCAATTTTGCCACAAGTATATAACAAGGTATAACCAAAGGGATTTTAACTTTGCCACAAGTATATAATTAGTTGTAACGAAAGGGATTTACTTTGCCACAAGTATATAACCAGTTGTAACCAAAAGGGGTTTTGTCTGATTGGGTTTTACGTCACACCGACACAGTATAGGTCATTTGGCGCCTTCCAGCTTTACTGGTGGAGGAAGACCTCCGGTGCCCTTCCTTGAATTATTTCAGGCACGAACGGGCACCTCAGTAGAACCACTGATGTTCCATAAGCTAGCTGGATAGCTTCCTCACATGAAAGAATCCAAAGTCCCTGACGGGATTCGAACCCACAGCGATGAGGGGCAAGTGGTTTGAAGTCAACGACCTTAACCACTCGGCCACGGATGCCCCCCAAAGGGGTTTTACATTTGCCACAAGTATATAACCAGTTGTAACTTAAGGGATTTTAACTTTGCCACAAGTATATAACAAAGTTGTATCCAAAGGGATTTACTTTGCCTCAAATATTTAACCAGTTGTAACAAAAGGGATATTTTTTGCCACAAGTTTATATTAACCAATTGTAACCAAAGGGATTTTAACTTTGCAACAAATATATAACCAGTTGGATCCAAAGGGATTTTAACTTTGCCATATTAAGTATATAATCAGTATTAACCAAAGGGATTTACTTTGCCACAAGTATATGACCAGTTGTAACCAAAGGGATTTTAACTTTGCCACATGTATATGACCAGTCCAGGTCTTATACTTATTTATGTATTTTGATATTGAAATCCTTTCAACTTGCAATGGACTGTTCCAAATTCAAAGCAGGGCAAATCCATTACAAATATTTAGCAGGTAAAGACATATCAAATGACATTTTAGTATGGCAGCTAGTCTTATACTTGTTTTATTTCTATTTTCAGCGATGGCCAATCAAGGGTGGAGAGTGGGGCACAGCTACCTGCAGCTATCCAGAGATTATAGTCACAGGGTAAGTACTCCATAACCCAACAGCTGTTGGTTCAAAACTTTGAAGAACCATTGAATTCTTCCAGAGGTCACTGGATCTTGGGCGTAGTGAAATTCCACTGTGACGATGATGTCTGACATTGAGTGTAATGGTTATTTTTCTCTCTCAGCTGATTCTGTAATCATGTGGGATAAGTGGTCAATCAGTTGTTGAGAAATTTGTAATTACAGTATAACTTCGGAATTCCCGAACATTTTTCAGGGTCCCGGAATTTTGAAGTGTGAAAATTAAGAAACTAAGACTTATATTGTGATGAAAAACAAATATTTCAAGTTAATAGCTTGTACTAGTTGAAAACTACTAAATGATAATTAACATTATGCTATTGTATCAACAAATTTAGGTGAAAGTGAAATTTAAGTACATGTATAATTATGAACTATGAAAAAGTCCTATAATTTTGCCATTTTATGAATTTAATCCGCTTCATATATTTTTCATCAGGTCAAAAAATTTTAAACAGTTGATGTTTAATATTTCTAGTTGTTCAGATAATTCTGAACTTCTATATTCCGGAAACTTCCAAATACCAACCTTTTTGGCTAGACCCATAGGTGTTAGGTTTTCAGAAGTTACACTGTACTGGTTACCTACCCAGGAAAGCTGGTTAGGTGAATCAACTGCCGAGATATGACCTAAGGAAGATGTCCAGGAATATATAGAATGGAGTGGTTTTATCCAGAAGTACTCTGATGCCTAAGATAATGAAGAAGGGGTTGTCCAGGGTCTGCGCCACCAGTTTATTCATGTTGTTGATATGAATGTTTTGCACCAAAATGGCCACCTATAGGAATCAGCTTTTTCATTACTGTTATTCTTTTCTAAAAGGAAAAATGAGCTGCGTCACAACAAAACCAACATAATGTGTGTGCGACCAGCATGGATTCAGACTAGCCTGCGCATCCGCGCAGTCTGACCAGGATCCATGCTGTTCACTATCAGTTTCCCTACTTGTAATAGGGTTTGTAAGCGAACAGCATGGATCCTGATCAGACTGCACGGCAGGCTGGTTTGGATCCATGCTGGTCGCATACACATAATGTTGCTTTTGTCATGGCCTGGCTCAAATGTTCATACCCATAGAAAGACACAAAAGTTTTTTTCTGATGCTTGCCACCAGACTTCTCGCATCCTCTGAGCGTGCATATTACCCCTGGATCACAGGCTGCCATATACTTATCAGGAAAATGTTAGAGGCAAACCAAATGATTCTAAGTAAAGTTTGAAATTCTAAAGAAATGTTAGAGTTACACAAACCAATCCAACAACATTTGGCTGCCAATAGAACTTAAGTTTAGCCATTGATGTTACATTCATATTGTTTAATGCAGTGCAGATGCACTTAAATGTTGAGAAACAAACATATTTAACATGTCTGGAACCAGTCTGTAAGAATAGCTATATGATGCTATGAAACCAGTCTGAATTCTCTTGAGTTTAATATCTCAGGATAAATTATAGGCGACCGACTTATCTTAAGTTGAATGACTGTATCTGGTTAAAGAAGTTTCATGTTTTATAGACAGTGCTGTGGGGACTTCTTGATGTAGAGAAATCTTTGTTTGATAGGTGGGCATTTTATGCAAATCATGTTCCAATCTAGTCTGGCTCGAATGCTTTTACTTGGCAAGGGAGATGGATGCATTTCATCCCAAGATGTGTTTCTTGTAATTTTTGTTCTGTTTCATGTATGTTAAAATTTGTCATACATGGTTTCATGCTAACACTGTTTTAACATCTTAACACTGTTTACTTCATATATACATACCTGTCATATGAAAATTTTGCATTAGAAATATGTTATTTCTTTCAGACATGCGGATGGTTCCCTAAAGTTTTGGGATGCATCAGCAGGTGAGTTCATGTGTTGACCTTAATGTATCTTATCTTGTTTTACATTTTCTTACCTTATAGTCAATTATCTTTCATCAGAGGAATAATATGATCATAAATATTGCTCAACTAATAAATCACATCTTACGCCTGTTTTATCATTTGAAAAGAAAATTAAGGTTTCCAGAGATCAGATTGACCCTTAACTTGCTGAACTTCTTAAATGACTTGCCCAGTTTCCATTTTTGGAACATTTAGGTCAGCAGGTTAAGGGTTAAAGTGGATGATTTTCCTTGACAGTTTTTTAGCTCGACTTTTTTTTTTTTGAAAAAAAAAGTAGAGGTATTGTTATAGTCAGGTCGGCGTTGCCGTTGCCGTCTCCGTTGCCGTTGCCGTTGCCGTTGCCGTCCGAAAACTTGTACCTGGATCATAACTTTTTTATTTCTTGGTGTATTGTCTTCATACTTGGCCACAACAACCCTTGGGACAAGACCTTTCAGTAGACCACACTAACCTTGACCTTCATCCATAAATGACCTTGACCTTCAAGGTTAAAAGTCCAATTTTTGCTTGTTCATGCTGTTATTGGCTGTTACTTTGTTATTTTTGAATGGATTGTCTTCAAACTTAAACATAATAATCTTCAAGGATATCCCTTAAAAATAACCAGTCAGACCTTGACATTCACTCATCAATGACCTTGACTTTGAAGGTCAAATTATTGAAATTTTCATTTTTTTGGCTATTATTGGCTGTAACTTTGTTATTTTTGAATGGATTGTCTTCAAACTTGAACATAATAATCTTCAAAGATAACTGTTAAAAATATACCGAAAGACCTTGACCTTCACTCATTAATGACATTGCCTTTGAAGGTCAAATTATTGAAATTTTCATTGTTTTGGCAGTAACTGACCGTAACTTTGTTATTTTTGAAGGGATAAACTTCATATTATAACAGAACATTCTTAAGGACCAGACCTTGTTGTTTATCAAACCCAAATTTGCTTGGGCTCTTTAATGACCTTGACCTTGAAGGTTATATTACTGAATTTTCTCAGATTGTGCATTTATCGGTGTGTGTGTATGTATAGTATATGTATTATATATAAATATGTATATAAATGTGTGTGTGTATATATATACATATATGCAGGTATATATATATATATATATATATATATATATATATATATATATATATTTATATATTTATAAAATATATATATATATGCATGTATATATATATATATATAGATAGATATATATATATATATCAAATATATATATATCAAAATATATATATATATATATATATATATATATATATATATATATATAAATGTATATAATTGCGTCATGTTTTTCTATTTTTAGAAATTGCGTCATTTTTTTCTATTTTTAGAAATTGCGTCATTGTTGCTATTTTTAGAATTTGCGTCTTTTTTTTTTTAGAAATTGCGTCATGTTTTTCTATTTTTAGAAATTGCGTCATTTTTTTCTATTTTTAGAAATTGCTTCATTTTTTCTATTTTTAGAAATTGCGTCATGTTTTTCTATTTTTAGAAATTGCGTCATTTTTTCTATTTTTAGAAATTGCGTCATGTTTTTCTATTTTTAGAAATTGCGTCATTGTTGCTATTTTTAGAATTTGCGTCATTTTTTCCTATTTTTAGAAATTGCGTCATTTTTTCTATTTTTAGAAATTGTGTCATTGTTGCTATTTTTAGAAATTGCGTCATTTTTGTTCTATTTTTAGAAATTATGTCATTTTTTCTATTTTTAGAAATTGCGTCATTGTTGCTATTTTTAGAAATTGCGTCATTTTTTCTATTTTTAGAAATTGCGTCATGTTTTTCTATTTTTAGAAATTGCGTCATTGTTGCTATTTTTAGAAATTGCGTCATTTTTTCCTATTTTTCGAAATTGCGTCATTTTTTCTATTTTTAGAAATTGCTTCATTTTTTCTATTTTTAGAAATTGCGTCATGTTTTTCTATTTTTAGAAATTGCGTCATTTTTTCTATTTTTAGAAATTGCGTCATGTTTTTCTATTTTTAGAAATTGCGTCATTGTTGCTATTTTTAGAAATTGCGTCATTTTTTCCTATTTTTAGAAATTGCGTCATTTTTTCTATTTTTAGAAATTGTGTCATTGTTGCTATTTTTAGAAATTGCGTCATTTTTGTTCTATTTTTAGAAATTATGTCATTTTTTCTATTTTTAGAAATTGCGTCATTGTTGCTATTTTTAGAAATTGCGTCATTTTTTCCTATTTTTCGAAATTGCGTCATTTTTTCTATTTTTAGAAATTGCGTCATTGTTGCGTCATTTTTTTCTATTTTTAGAAATTGCGTCATTTTTTTCTATTTTTAGAAATTGCGTCATTTTTGTTCTATTTTTAGAAATTATGTCATTTTCTTCTATTTTTAGAAATTGCGTCATTGTTTCTATTTTTAGAAATTGCGTCATTTTTTTTCTATTTTTAGAAATTGCGTCATTGTTTCTATTTTTAGAAATTGCGTCATTTTTTTCTATTTTTAGAAATTGCGTCATTTTTTCTATTTTTAGAAATTGCGTCATTGTTGCTATTTTTAGAAATTGCGTCATTGTTGCTATTTTTAGAAATTGCGTACTGTTGCTATTTTTAGAAATATGCTTAATGTTTCTATTCATATATATACAAAATATATAAACAAAACTAATGTGACAAGACAGACCAACTAAATTTATAAAAAGGAAACATCAATATATGTTCAAACCTTTCTATGTTTGCGTTTAGAAAAAGTAAAAAGTCGAGCGTTGCCCCCGCCCGGCGGTGGCTCTTGTTTAAACGAATGCCAAAGAGACACTGTCTGTCCTTTAGTTTTTTTTTTAAAGAAATGTCAAAGGGACACTGTCCTACCTTCATTGTGTCAGAAGAAGTAAGCAGTTACGTGTAGCAAAACAGGATAGTACTGGCTCAGAATTAGGGAATTATTTAGGTAACTTCCAGCTGGTATATGCCTCAGGCTCAATTCCTGTTTAAATTAGGCTAAATTTCTGTTAAAACTGGCTCAATAGTCAACAAATATGGCAAACATACTCTTCCTAGATTATGTTGTATAGCCAGGATTGGAGTACTAAGTAAAATGTTTCACTGAAGCAATTGTGTTTGAACCAAGTACCATGTCATGGGAGTTTTTGTTGTTGACGGTAACACATAATACTTGAGTGTATGTCTGAAGGTCCTATATATGCTAGAACTGTTTCTGTCAGCAAATATGTCTGTAAATTGAAACATTTGAACAAATAGGAGAATTCTGTGTCTGGCACTTTGGAAAATGTGTTGACATTTAATTGAAATCAAACTGTCTGTTTGTTGTATTTTTCAGTCACATTGCAAGTGTTGTATAAAGTTAAAACTGCCAAAATATTTGAGAAACCTAAGAACAAAGTGCTAGACGGCCAGGAGGACGACCCGTTTGCTATATATATGATATATTTAGATCAAGAAAGTCGGTTACTAACGCTAGCTGGAGCTACACATGTGATGCTGTTTAAATTTTCTAAACAAGAATCATCCATAGAAGTTCCAGTAAGTTTATGTTAGGTATTTTGAAACCATAGCTAGAATCTAAAGTTGTTTTGGTTATTTTGTATGGCTATAAATAACTTGCTATTTTTTTATGCCAATAAAGTTATTTGAGTTGAGTTGAGTTAACACAAAATGTTGTTTCTCAGTGCTCTCATCATTTGATTTTCATTAATAAAGCCAGTTTATATGATTTAAACACCTATTTCTACTCTTATTTCATACAATAAATATTAAGTGGTACAGTTGATATTAAGATTTAGAGTTGATTGAATTTAGTTATCGAGATTTTTTTTCTCAACATAATCTATTAACTACAATACCAGTATTTCAACACTTCAATAATGTTTTCTCTTTTTCTAGTCATTAGAAGTATCAATAGTATATGAGGTATTTGATGATCTGGATTCACCAGACCTAGATTACCCGAAACCCAGTCTGGGCGTGGCAACCCAGCAGCATAGTGGCAGTGTGGGCTCCTACTCGAGCAACACATCAGATAGTACAAAAGTAAGTACACCTAAAAACCTGTTCAAAGATAGAAAATGTGTTAAATGAAGTTTTGGAGACAAAAGTTGCTTCCTTTGTGCAAAACTGTTGTTTTATCCATTTATTCAAAATTCCTGGTTGCTTGTGATGACTATTTTATTGTGAAAATTCTTTGTTCACATGTTATATTTAAGCTTAATAATAACAAAAATTATTGCCTTCACAAACCAGTATTAGTGCCATATGAGGAAATAAAGTCTTCGCTGAAGTAGTGCTATATGAGGAAATATAGCCTTGGCTCTAGTAGTGCCGTAACGGGAAATATGGCCTTTGCTGAAGTAGTGCTATATGAGGAAATATGGCCTAGGCTCTAGTAGTGCCATATGGGGAAATATGGACTTTGCTGAAGTAATGCAATATGAGGAAATAAAGCCTTGGCTCTAGTAGTGCCTTATGAGGAAATATAGCCTTGACTCTAGTAATGCCTTATGAGGAAATATGGCCTTGGCTCTAGCTGTACAGTATCAAGAAATAGAGCCTTGGCTGAAGTAGTGTCATATGAGGAAATATGGCCTTGGCTCTAGCAGTGCCATTAAAAGAAATATGGCCTTGGCTTTAGCTGTACAGTATAAGGAAATAGAGCCCTACCTCTACCGGTAGTAGTGCACTTAACCTTTATAATTCCTTGATTAAATGATATACATCTCAAGAATTAGACCACTGCTACCACTGATTGCAATGATTTCAGTTTTGCATAAAGGAAACACACAGTGCATGCCGCAAGTTTTATAGGACATAAAATTTCATGATTCTTTTTCTCCACAGTTACTGTAGTTTTGAATGAAATCTGATTTCGAATAGATTAGTAACTTAAGTAGCTATTTTAGGAAATTAAGTTGTTAAATGCTTGCCAGTGCAATTATTTTGGTATTTACTAGTAATTGTTTGGGATAAATGATAGAATTCTATGAAGTCATTACTGCTACTGCTCATGCCATTCAAGTATGACATGATTTAATTGCATTGTCCAGTGTGTATGTATTGTAGATGTTTCCATCTGCAGTGGATCCCTATTCTGTTTTTTGATTGAATTTCTCACGATAGATAAATACCATACTAATTCATCATATTAATAGGCGTGTAATTAACACAGTGAGGCGTAATTTACGTAGTGAGGTGTGCTGATGTCAGTTTCAATATGCTCCAATCAAAAACACTATTTTACCTTGAATTTTTTTGAATATTTTTTAAAATGATTGTTTGAAAATTTGTTTTTTGTCATGTTTTAATGATTATGTATAAAATTGTTTTAAATGTTTATTTGTTTGTACAATTATTGTGTGTTCAGTATTTATAAAATGATTAAGATGCTGTTTTAAAGAAACAAATGTTTTGGGGGTTTGAAGCAAATTTTAAAGGTTAAATTTGATTGATTAGTTTTGGGAGATATGTTAGATTTATTCTAGATTGGGTCACAGAAAGTTCCAATTGTGTCATTAATTTGATTTCAACTAAATAAGTAGTAATGATCAAACTACAATCAAAATCTGAATTATTTGATTCATTATACTAGTGACCAAGTACTGTTGGGACGGGTCCTGGCATTGCACAACAATTTTTTACTTCTAAAACACACTTTTTTAGATAGATTTTCTTCTTTTTCTTTTTATTTTTAAATCACCCTCAACTTATTAATGTCTAAGGAAATAGAATTTATGGCATATGTATACATTCTTATTTTAGGGGAACATACTTAACAGTGTAAATCAATTAGGAATATTATGAACATTGATATTTTCAGACTTCCAAACCTAGTTTAAGTGTTTTACAGCAACAAAAATCGGGCGGGAGTATGGGCTCATACTCGTCCGACAGCACAAAAGTAAGGGCTCCATTTCTGTATTGTGCCGCAGTTTTATCCAGTTGTATTTTTTCTACACTTTTTGCAATTTTTATGCATTTGTATATATCTTTTATACAAATTTTTAGAATGTTCGTATACAGAAACACTACATATGTGACCATGAAATGTGCTTGTGCTTTGTTATGAAATTTTATGTATGAGAAAGATGTAATTTGAGAAGAGTTTTTTCATTTTAAACAGTTCTTATTGTATGCAAAAATTTACTTCCTTTTTAAGTCCGTAAATCAGGTTTAGATTTATAAAAGGCAACATTTAGGAGTGGAAATGAAAATGATGCTAATTTTCATGTAAAATTAAATCCATGTCTTATACTGGGACAAATAGATATGGTATAATGTTTTAATTTTCACCAAATTTTCTTGTGAGCTAGTATGATAAAATTATAATATTAATATGAATAATATAATGCATGGTTCGTGTTTAGAGCCCCAAATTTCTCAAGCACACATTTGTTTATGCTGTAAGCATTTTGTGTAGTATTTTTTATTAGAAAAGTTATAAGTCTCGTACTATATGAAAAAACTATTTTGTTTTGGTTTGCACTTTATTCAATTTATTACATTTCTGTCATCTTTGATTCACATTTTACCTTATAACCTTTGGTATTTCTAACCTAAATGCTAAGTGATCATAACAGAAGTGAGAGGGTGTTAATATATAAATATAAACTTTTATGTTCAAGTTAGCAAGTTAGATTTCTTGCACTAGGTTTTGTTTTTTGTTTTTTTATAAAGGCAAAATTTGTTATTTTTTGCACACTCTTGGAACAAATTGATGGCTGCATGTGTAGTGTTTCTAAGCAATTTTTTAAATATCTTTTTCATATTTGTTATTTTCATGTTTATGTGGTTCTTATGTGCCCTGTAATGGTCATATATATATGACGTACACATACTCTTGTGGTCATTTTTACCATGTGTAACATTCCTGTGTAAGTGTATTGTGAAATTCCCTGTCCCTTTTCCCTCTGGGACTTTTTATTTGGCCACAGCGGCTAAGATTTTTATGCAGTAACCTTCTAGTCTCATTCCTCAGGTTTTATGTTATTTTTAATGAACTCGACTTTCTCCATTGTTGGGATCTTCGCCAAGTGATTACGGTGAGTGACTACACGCCTTTTGCCCCTCACGACCGCGGGTTCAACTCCCGGAATGGACTTCTGATTCTTTCTTGTGACAAAGCTTTCCAGCTGCTTTACCGAACTTTTGTGTTTCTACTGACAAAATGCACAGAAAGGCATCCAAGGTCTTCCTCCACAGTAAAGTTGGAAAGTCACCATATGACATATACTGTATACTATGTTGGTGTGACGTAAAACCCAACAAAAAAAGCTTTTAAGGTGGCTCTCTCTTAATTTATATGAATTTCATTCAGTGCATTCTCCCGTCATTTCATTGAATTATATTCTGAATGTCAACCTTTATGTCCAGTTCTAATCTACATCTTTTGTGAATCAATAAATATCAATAAATGGTACCTCATGTTTGAACTTTTCATTACTAGTATTTTTATGATAAATGTGCATGTCTGATTTCATGCTAAATTTCATCCAGATTTTTTCATTATTACCTTTAACTTGCAAGACTTTTATAATGGACTTGTCCAGCTTCCACTTTTGGAACTGTCCATAAGTAGTTTTAGGGATGAAGATAAAGTATTAAGTTAGCCTGCCAAAAGTTATAGAACCTGGTCAGTCTGCATGGACTCATAGGCTGACCTGGCTCTATACTGGTGTCAAAGGCTTATCTTTGTCAGTTCCAGCATTTCTGTCACAAAAAAATAATGGATCTAACATTGAATTTATTAAATTTTTTATACATTCTACTAGTATTTATCTAGCATTATTCAAGAAGTTTTTTACAAATTGTTTGTGTGTTTTTTTTCTTTTAAATTTCTTGTTCTGTTTAAGAAGTCATATACAAGATACAGTTCTTATGGTGCTTGACAGCTACTGTGTGGTATCAATAAAAATTAAACACCCTTACTTAAACAATATTTTTAAAGTTTTTGGGGGAATTATGTTTTTAATGTATTTTCTGTCTATTGATAATTGAGTTGATAATAGTACTTTGAGACTATATAACAACTTGAAACTATCACTAAATTTGAAAAAAAAAATATTTAATTGAAGATGCAAGGAACAAAAAATTGTTTATATTTTTTTGTTGTTTTTGTTGTTGTTGTTGTTTTTGTTGTTAGTTTGTTTTCCTGTTATTGTCTTGTATGTACGCACATTTTAAAGTTTTGTATATGTTGTTTCACTGTCTTTTCTGCACTTTTCTCAGCACAAACCCTTAATTGAGATGAAAAACATTTTATGCAAAAAAAATAAAAAAATACTCTAGCTGAAAGCAAAATGAAAGCAAAATGTGTCACCTTAGTGCAATAACTGGTTAACTCCTAATTAATTTAACCTGTTTCTGCACTTAGGTGACAAAAAGTAACTTTAAAACTTAAAATCAAGAAGAGATATTAAGCACAAGTCATAGGTAAGAAAAAGGGTCAATATTTTAACAAAACAAGTAGGCAGGGGTCTATGTAGCCTAATGGTTAAGGCTGCTGACAGGCCCCTCATTACTGTGGGTACGAATCTCACCAGAGACTTCAGATTCAGTCCATGGGTCTACTCTGGTTCCTGATCTTGGCTGAAAAATGCATTTGAGGTCTTTGGCCAGCTGGAAAGAAGGAAAGACTCCATAGGACCTTAACCCTACAGTATTGGTGTGCATTAAAAAAGAAAATGATAATAAAATAATACAAAATAGAAGTAAACAGGAAGGTTTTGTACTTGAATTGTTAATTGTGTCCTTAATAACAGCTTAGATATGAAATACCCCACAGGAACTTGTTTACAAGTTGGCTCTAAAAGGAACTCCACGGAGGTCTCAAAGCCAAAAATCATAAAAATTTGAAATTCATTCATCAGTCAGCTGATGCTATTAAAATTGAAAACTATGCAATAGATAATATGTAAATGTACTATGTACTATATTAATAATTAATTTTTATGCAATTTTTGGGCCGATTTAAGTGAAAAGAGTTTCAACCTTTTGGGGACAATTTGGGCAATAAAATTGATTATCCCTGGGAAGCAGAG